AAAAATTGTACCCTGTAGCCCCAAGAGCTTATAAACACCTTTCTCTATGGTGGAGGTTATTCTCATATCACTAGAATATAAAAGTGTTTTCTAATTGTAAAAAACAAAACAAAATCCAATAGTTGTGTTGGATCAATAAAAGAAATATAATATAAAAATATAAAGCTTGTAACAGAATTTGAGGTTATATAAAATAAAGAACAGAACCCATAAATCTGTGTCACTCGCTATATCGTGTGTGCGCGCGTTTAAGAAAATGTCATCTGCTATTGGTTATTTTTATATACATTTGTTTTAAAACAGAGAAGCCACGCTTTTTTCAGCTTTTTGCGCTCTGAAATTAATTCAATAAACGATTTAACACAAATAGCTCGTTATAGTTCCAATGATTCCTACATTAATTATCTTTTCTTAGACTTCTGTTTCTGCAACCAGAATTGGATAATATTCTTTTAATTTCTTTTTCTGAAACAAAGTTTTTATTTTATTTTTATCCAAGTAATTCTAATCACGAAATAATATTACAGATTCAGTAAAGCGAAAACAAGTACATTCGTAAGAAATAAATTCCCATTCACGGTGAAATGTTTTAAAATTAATTTGTTCACTGTTCTTTGGGACTGTATTAACACTGAAATAACGATAAAGATTTACAGGACAGAACTTGATTATAATAACTAAATCACAGAACAAGTGTCACACACTTTTAAAAAGTAACACATTTAAATATATGGATATAAACGCGAACTCGTATGCATGCGCATAATAATAAAGTATTCCATCTCGTGAATCTTTTCTTTCTGGTATCAACGTGACATATATAGCACGGAATAAGGATAATACACCATAATGTTGGTAATGATATATATAAAATGCATAGAGCGTTATCATTATATCATCTTGTCTGCGAAGCAAGATAATAATGAAAGGGGGCCATTGTATACTTCACGTGACACATAAATTAGTGAAACGACACTCATTGTAATGAATTAATATTATAACAAAACGTTGTAGTCACGTTTGAATAAGATTTTATCCGTCTTTAAGCTTGCATATTCGAGTGTGATAGATGTTTTGATTTTACACTTGATAAAACGTCGTTTCTGTAAATGTTTTCCTTACTGTTTAAGTTTAAAACTTTTGTTTTGCGCGCTCTTTTATTTTTTGTTAATCTGTGCGTAACTGTCATATATTGTTCATATTTAACTTAAATGATATGCATTCACTTATAACCCTTATAAATGTTTAATTTATTACAGCTTTGAAATGAAATGCGTGTTTGTAGCGTGTCTGTAATTTCTATCTGTTGTATATTCCATACCTGTGTTTTATACTTCAAACTCTTGTATAGTTTGAACGGCTGAGACGATACTCTAACTTGACGTATCTTCATGCTTGTGAGCAACGGCGCCCCTTAACCTTACCACATCCGGAGATTGAGTCATCCTAAAGTGTTTTTTGTGCAAATACTTTATTAGACAGAGTTTGAACGATTGATGTATAACAGCAAAGGGTGATAGCTAAATAAACTGACCAGTGTTTTGTTGTTTTCTGTACATTGGGCTTTATTTTCCATTATTTTAATGAGTTTTTCTGCGCGGTTCAAAATAGAACATTACACAGGGAAATATATTTTGTTTTAAGTTATTGATTTTTATTATGTGTGCGTACCGAAAAGTTGAAAGCATCTTAGGCTGGCCCTTCAAAAGAACAGAAGCTCATTCTATAGGCTTACTTATCTTTGGTTGTTTTGTTTTTAACTTAACTGTTAAAATGAAATCATAAAATATTTCCACAGGGACAACCTTTGGAGCTAGTTTGCAAGTGACAAATTTTTTAACCACATATATCGGTAATTTTCGGATAAGATCACAAGGCTATACAAAGTGCTACAACATAAATATAGTATGTATATATATATATATATATATTGGTAAATTTCGTTCAAATTTTAAATGCGTTTAATCATAGAATCAAATACACAATTTCGAAGTCACTTCAAAGGGTAATGTGAACACGTATATAATCATGAATTTTGTTTTATATGCTATTGATATTTAACAATGGTTTCGTGTATTATGATCTGTTTATTTTCTGTTACAAATGCGTAATTCGAACTGTAAGGCTGTAACCCTTTGAGCGATATAGTAGGTATCCTTATTAGACTCGTCCTCGCAAACACAGGTGTATATCTGTTTTGTAGACAACGCAAAGTGGGATCGTTTAAACTGGTCGCACTAGTTGAGTCACTTGTCTACGGTGCTTCTCACGTTCACTAGTCTTATCGTTTACTGGAGTGATGTCATTATTCAGTTCCCTGGGGTTCTCACGAGCAATTGCTTGGTTAAAAACAGGATACTGCACATACAGAAAGCATTGTTTTAACCAGAAGAACGGTTTCAACACCTCTCGTATTACCATACATATGTGCATAGCCAGTGTAAACATTCTTAAATACCACAATATAGAACGGGTGAATACAGAAACACAGAACGCGTGGACGAACTTTGGTTGTGAATCAGTATTGAAAAATTACATTATTGACAGAGTGGATTGTTGCAGGATAAATGTTTATAGTATTGTTTCATTTACTCAGAAGTGATCCACATAAGAGCATCCCGCTTTAGAATAACGACAATTTTTACATTAGAAATAAACAACCTTATAACACCAGATTTGTTATTTTTCTTTAATTGGACACTCAGCGTTCCATTAAAACATAAACCGTAACTGACAATAATTAGTTACTTTTTTAGAATAAACAAATAAAAACATCCAGCAACTTTTATAATATAATAAGTCTCGCACTTCCAGTTTAAAATGATATACATTATTTTTCAATCTTCTTTGTAATTTCTAAAAAAAGTTATTTGTATACTTTTACTCCGCTCTGACGGCTTATCGAAAAGTTCTGTTGAAGCTTTGTACTCTCAGGTACGGTTTGTGTTTTAGTGGAATTCTCGCGAAGAAGCTACAGATCGAAACGTTGAGCGTCCAACTGAAGAAAAATATTAAATTTGGTATTATAAGGTCGTTTATTTTTAGGATTTTTCCAGTTCTGTGAATAACGTTAATAGTTAGTAGCAAGCGTCATCGTGCTCTGTTTCAGGTGTAGAAGAGACAACGTAGGACTAGATACTAGTTAGTAAGTTTTCGCTTGAAATGCAATGCAATGCATAAATTGTTTTAGAATAGAAATTTTTGGCATTCTGAGTGAGGACTGTATGTGTTTTACCGTAGAGGTTTTCTGTATTAGGACAATCGCTTTATGTTGATATGAGTCATAGGCCTGCATCTTGAAGAAGATATCAATGTAAACTTTCGAATTAGTTACAGTCACGTGTTTTTTATCTTTATTTTTGCACTTGACAGATACCCTATTCTTGAACAAGAACTCCATAATACAATTGTTTTTTGAGCAGGGATCATCTGAAAAGACAATAATAGTAAGTACGTGTGCCTAACTATGTTAAAAGTGAGATGAGGGGAATAAGTGTAAGGAAGAACTGGCAAGTGAAAGAGAACATGCCTAACTCTGTTAAAAGTGAGAGGAGGGGAATAAGTGTATGGAAGAACTGGCAAGTGAAAGAGAACATGCCTAACTCTGTTAAAAGTGAGAGGAGGGGAATAAGTGTATGGAAGAACTGGCAAGTGAAAGAGAACATGCCTAACTATGTTAAAAGTGAGAGGAGGGGAATAAGTGTATGGAAGAACTGGCAAGTGAAAGAGAACATGCCTAACTATGTTAAAAGTGAGAAGAGGGGAACAAGTGTAAGGAAGAACTGGCAAGTGAAAGAGAACAAGTAAAGTTTTTGCCTAAAAATATTCAAAAGTGGGGTGGCACATGCCCCACTGTTTAGCCGTATATGTTAGTAAGGTCAGTCAAATGTAACATGACATTGGTTTGCATGTATTGACATGTCTGTTTTCCTAATAGTTATCACCGTGCGTTTTGTCGGATATCCTTGATTCAGCCGAGATACAATACTTTTCAGGTGTATTACTTATGCAAAGTAAACATTTCTATTATGTTAACGAAAACCAAGTCCAAGGTCATGTGACTACATTGTTGGTCTACTTTTGTTGCCCCACTTTCTGTGACGTTCTACTATTGGTTGCTGTCACCAAGTGTATGTAACTTATGCATCGCCTACTCTAGAACTTTATTAAACCTGATGCTAACTGCTTGGTTTATAGTAATATCCTGAGTAACATGTTTTAAGCTAATAGGATTTGTCATCTTGGTGGCTTTGGGTAAGGGAGGTGCGCAACGTTTTATTAACAAAATTCGATTAAACAGCTACCATGCAATGTTGTAACGAAAACTGTTCAATGTAAAATACATGCAACTATCGTAAAGAAACGTTAAGGACTTTTAGATGCAGCATGCATGGCGAGTCCTCATTTATTGCTAGTTTTAATGACATATTTCCCAAGTTCTGTCTATTTTTTTTTATGATGACAACTTGTATAACAATATATGTTATTTGATAGGGGTAACAACTGTCGGGTTTTTCCCGTTTGTTTTAAAGCGTATTACTTTGGTCAATTTTTGGAATTTATTGAAGAAAGATATTTTTATTTTCAGTACTTATCGTAGAATATTTTTTCTTTATTGTACCTTATACATTTGTAGTTGAGGAATACAAATTTATAATTTTAATAAATCAGTTATTACCGTTTCTAGATGTGTGTGGTGTCCCCATCTAGTGGCAAATGGTAAAATTGTAGTATTCAGACTAAAGTACACAATTTTTAATCAGCGTACACTGCTACGATTATTCTGACGATATATCTAACCATATAGCTTAAGAAGTTTTTATTAATTTGGTAATTCTAGTCATATCGTAGCATACATTAAAGTTCCGCTAAAAATTCCGTTCCTCAGTTCAGTCGCTCACCGGTGGCACAGCGGCATGTCTGTGGACTTGCAACGTTAGAAACCGAGTTTCGATACCCGTGGTGGGCAGCGCGCGGATAGCTCATTGTGTAGCTTTGTCCTTAACTTCAAACAAACTCAAACTCAGTTCAATCGTTCAAATATGAACTGTTGCTCAGGGAGTAGTGAAACCTAAATTTTGATTGTTTTATTGAACTTACTCTTTTTTAAAATCTGAGTAGAACAATAAAATTCTTCTAAATTAACAAGCAGCGGAAATGTGACACTATTTCCTAGCCAACTCACGTACTACACTAACTAATTCTAGGTATTGGCTGGAATGTTGGGATTAAATATTTATTGTTGTTGTTGTAACTTCTGAAACTACCACTGTTTAGGTGCAGAAAAATACAAACTGTTCTATCCTGTTTAAAGTTTTAATGCAAAAAGCAGCGATATGCAACCACACTTGACTATTATGTTGTTCGTTATTACAATTTTATTTGCCCGTTATTTTGTTTGTATGACAACTTACGGAACGTTGAAATGTTATTATAATGAAAAAGAGAGAGGAATGTGTAGAGTAAGCTCTACGTCTACCACGTTTGTTGCATATTTCCGTTATTAAGTTAGTGCTGAAACCACAGGGTTTACAAGTTATACTCACATTTAATCAGTTCCTACAACCTGACCAGAAAATACATGTGTACACATGGAGACGTGACCACACTTATCGGAGCATGTATTTTCACTGTTAACATACCACGACTGCAGTATTTATTTATTTATTAGTGTGCTTATGAAAGCATTTTGTTATTATTGTGTGTTATACGTTCTACCTATTTCTGAAGTTAGAGAACAGTTTCGGGTTTTAGGAGTATTTACAGGTTAAACGGAAGTTTTTATTTAGCATCTTAGGTATTCTTATGAAATATTTCAATCGGAAATTAGTCTTTTATTTTACATTTGCACTCTAGAATAGAATTCTGAAACGTGGTTTATTACAAGAATCACGACTTTAGGTAGGTTTTACCTGTTCTTTAAATGTAATCAATTTTCATTTTAATAATTATTATTATCAAGTATTTAATATGTACAGTAATGTGTTTATTTTTTATTAGCAGATGCCTCAATGGATGAACAAAACGTTCTTCCAACTGATGAATCACCTTCTGTTTTTGGTGAAGAATGCTCCTCGGTAGCTGATGGAGATCAGTCGGTACAGTCACATTTTGATGAATCCGTAGACAGTGGATACGAGGCTTCACCGGCCGGCAACAATTGTCAAGAAATATTCAGTTTTAATATGGACGTTTCAACAGAGACATTGCATGATGATATGCGTTTATGTTGTTCATTTGTGAACGATCAATGGTCAGAAATTGAAGAACGTGTAGAAACTAGCTCCAATAAACTCGGACCTTGTGGACAAAGTGATCAAACTTGTGCCTGTGCTTATAGGAAAGAACAAAATTGTTTCTCTTCGTGTTCTTGTAGCTGTCATTCAATCACTATAGAAAAAACACAGGATCAAGAGTCTCCTAGTGATGCAAGACCATTTGTTCCATTCTTCATACGTCCTCGCGCCTCTAGAAGAGGTCTTGAAACCAGAGATGTTTTGTGGTCATCCGAAGTAGTAACACTTCCCAATTACTACCATTTTGACCGTAGTCCACGCTTCCGCCTGTATTCTTTTTTTGGTCAGCCTGTTTCAATTCTTCGCACTACTCTTCAGTCCAATCGACTTCAAACCAATTCCGTCCAAAACCAGCGTTTCTGTGCTCTCGGTACAGGATCGCATTCATCCGCCGGGAACTACACTGTTTCGGTGGCAACGCAGACAACGTTCGAGATTACACACAATGAAGGTTACTTATTTAATTCTGCTGGGTCATCAGATGGTAGGCAAACATTTTCTTATCACTGAGTAACATACAAAATTCTGGTTTATATCTAGTATTTCTGTTGAACTGAATTTTACCGACTATTTCTGTGGGAACACGGAGTCCGTCACATATACACGCCTAGTTAAAACTCCAAGTTTGAAGAACGCTGTGTACAACAGAGCCGTAGCCACTTCCAGTACTCGTTTTGATATATATTTAAACATTTAGGTATTTTACCTTTGTGTAGAAATGAACTTAGACTTTTTTTTTACAATTTTGATAGGGAAGCGCCATTACAAAAATACTTCCAAATACAATATGGTAATATAGGAAAATATAATAGTTGAAAAATGTGTATGCAAGTTCGACATGCTTTATAAAAATTTAATTTCTTTTCTTCACTTCTCTGTTTCTCCTCCCTCCAACTTTTTTTTCTGGATGGAAGAAATTTTGGGAGGTTTATCCCAATCCCTTTGTCTGCGCCCCTGTATATAACGAAATGACTTCGTACGTTATTCGTCAGCTTAAGTTTTCAATGTTTTAAATAAAATAAAAACCTATTTGTTCCACCGACAAAGTTGTCTACCCAAATAACTGTAGATTCCTTTCTCGATCCTGTTAGGTTTTGTAAAGTTGCGAATTGAATATAACTTTGAATATAACTCTAACCTTAATTATTAGTTTATTTATAAAATCGAAATAAAAAAAAACGTAGTCACTTAAGGGTTAGTATGCAGTTTTTTTAATGCTTCAATCTTAGTGTGTTGGCTAGTTAACTAAGTAATGTACTATGAATATATATGAAAGATAGCTCTTTGACGTCTGTGTTAATATATGAACTTCTAAGAAATTGTGATTGAAAGTAAAAAATAATGTAAAAATATGTCAACCACTATATTTGCTGTATCCAGTGCCGACGAAGCTTTTCGCTCAATATCAGGCCTCACTAGGATATGACAGACATAGTAGAGACGCGGTTAAAATATTTATATCATCAAATTACTTGAACAACAACTGTTTCGCTGTGAACTATGTTGGTGAACTATAATTTTTGTCCATTTTATTTAAGTCATTACACATTAAAATCGGTATATTTTTATTAACCTCAAATTAATTATCCATCTCAACACCAGAGTGTTTATTATTATTTATGTATTTTACTTGAGTTAACTTAAAGCTCCATAGAGAAATGGCGAACCAGTAAGCACGAACACATAGGTATACAACTTACGTGTTTTCTTTTCTTGTTTGTTCATTTCATTGGTATTAATGGAATAAAAACAATTTACGTAATTTGAGCCAGTATTGTAACGCAAAAGTCTCAAAGTTTAAGAAACAAAGTGAAATTCTCCTTACAGCAGTTGACTTAATTGTTATACAATTCCAAAGTTGACTGCTTCACTAGCTTTGCAGGTTTTTTTTTTCATATTTGTTATTTATTTGATTTCATGATGTTCCATTAATGCCACCTAGTGGCTAACAAGTAAAAAAAAAAGTTTAGCTCTGTTTTATTTACAAGACGTAACTATGTACAAACTGCGAAAGTGGTATGTTTTACCATTCTGATAATACTTAATAATTTTGTCCACCACTTTATATATAAGCAAGTAACTTCAGCAACTTCATTGATGGCCGTCAGAAGGTGAAGCACTTAGAAATAGCTTAGTAATTGCCTTTGAGGGTAGAAAGATAACAAAGACCAGTACAACTTGATTAAGAACAACACAGTGTTTAGGTATATTCGCATAAAACAGGTCCATTTGAAATTAAGATGTTTCGCGCCAGGAGTTTCAACTAATGCTGATAATTGTAACACACCTATATTAGTGCTCTTTGTACTGTAACCACAGAAATGTACAGTAAAAATTTATGTAATGATTTCGTAAAGCCTTGTCTCGCACAGCTGCAGGCGAAGTTTGGAGTTGATAATCCTTAATTCGCTGGTGGCGCCAATAGAAACTTAGGCGGGGAGAGAGAGAGAGTTACGTAATGTAGTGCGAGAATTCGGAGGATCGCTGCGGATGTGTGCTATAAATTGCATTACATTTTACTGATGTTTTTCGCAGTACGCGCGCATTTGAAGACAAATTTTAGGTTTTGATGTAAATAAAAGTAGTACAGAATGTTTTACATCATATTTTATGCCTTTCTATGTGACGCTCACGTTCAAATGTATTTTTTTAATATAGTTTGCACACAGAAAAATAGAAGGGTGTAGGCTACCTAACGACTGTTTTTGACAATAGCAGCTCATCTCGCTAGCTTGTAACCTTTTATATCACAAGATACGAATGGTTCGCGCGAAAATGTTATTTCTGCCTCCGATTATTATAAAATGTGATCTTTCGAATTTTTTTTCAGAAATATATGTAGTTGAACATTGTTATAGGAAAAAAAAAGAGACATAAATCATTTATTGAGGAAGAAGATTATATTTAATTCGTGTTACTTTAGTGTAGCGGTAGCTTCACCTTAATGTTGGCTTCCAGCCATTAAATCTTGAAATCACAAGGTATGTCGGAATTGGCTTGGTGCCAACGTTGTAAATTCAAGTGATTATCGTGATATTAAATCTTGAATCGTCCAACCTGTTGCTCGTGGTGTTTTTTATTATTTATATTTATTGAGAGGGGGGGGGGGAGACGGTACCGTAGTTTGCGTGAGGGTCAGTCTTCGCCGATGTCCCGCTTTGTGTTTTTTGCTGAAGCTGTAAAACGGTTATCCCAGATCAACGAGGTATAGCTGAGTCATACGGTTAGCAGTGATATGTACAGCAAGCTAGAGACAAAAAGTTATAACTTATGTAGATAATCTATTAATTCATCATCATAACCAATGCGATTAGGCCTAGGTTGCGTAACCGACTTTATTTACTCACACTTTCACAGTTATAATGTTTTGAGAAGGCGCCACCGTTGCTATACAGGTGTTCAGGGTAAGTTTTTGTGGGTTCGAGCTGTGAGTCAAAGTGACACAGACAGTAAAATCGTAACGCACTGGTAACCACGGTAACCTGACGTCATCACCTGCACCTTATTGTAATAAATCTGCGTTTTTGTTGTTGTTTCGCGTTAGACATTGGTTTTAATGTTGATGATACTAAGCATTCCGTTATATTTCTTACCAGATTAACAGCTTCTGGTACACAACAATAAAAACATCGCATCTATAACTTTGACTTTTTTATCAAATGCATTTTCCCAGAATTGTTACACATTTTAGCATTTTTCAAAGAACACGTGTTCTTAGAACCATATTAGTGTTACATAAACCGTTTTCAAAAATAAAGTTTACTGACTAGTGATCGAAACTAACAGCAGTTGTAGGCATTCTTTGCGAAATGAAGTAGAAGGCAACATTTTTGTGTTGTCTGCTATTATTTCCCCGAAAAGGAGGCGAAGGCCACCTGGAAGGGTCAACTTTTTAATCAGTAGCACCACTATACAATAGTGTATTTTCTGTCAGTCAGTCAGTCAGTAGATACAAAAATGACGTTGCTTAATGTTGCAATTTGTACTGTCATGACGTCAGTAAAACGTGCGCATGCAATTATTCATGAGAGTAATTATGCACTCTGTAGGCTACAACACAGCATGACATAATTAAGAGTAACAAATATTTCGATTTCTTGTTTCTGGTTTTATTTACTTTTGAAACATGACACTTTCGGGGACCCTGCGCAAGTACATCTAGTTAATTAAACAAAGAAAAACCGAGAATAAATTTGTTAAACTTTGTATGTGTATGTGCATTTTCATGAATTCAAAATAAACACAGGTTGGTTTGGAAGTTATTGGTGCAAATAACCGGTAAAAAGGAAAATAGGCACTGGTTGTCGTTTTTATCTTCGCAGTTGAACTGGGGTATATTCCAGATTTGTATGCACTTGTCATTGGGCTTGATTAGAAAGAAGTACAAAAACACTGTAAGTGTAACGCATTTGATATCATTACATGTGATAATATAAGTAATATTGCATGGGCTTTGTATCTTTCGTATTACAGTTCTAGTAGATTTCCCTCTGTATTCCGTGACAGAACATCATATTGCTCGTTACATATACTCTTAGCAAGGGGGAATCACTATCCCCCTTTCCTTTCCAGCTGATTTTTGTTGTTGAATCTCTTTTACATGAGTGCTGCAGGCGTCCCGGGTTTTGACGGGAGAGACAATAGATTTCACTTTCTGAGGGGGAAGGCATATGCCACTGCTTTTAGGTAGAGGCTACAGGACCTTGTTTCGCCCCAGGCCTGTCTTAACCTTTGGTCGTCGAAAATAAATGATTTTTATGGGCGTAACAATTGTAATCGAACATATATTTATATGTATGTATGTATGTAGTGTTGTGTTTTGCAATCCTGTTTTAAAATAAGTGTATCACACTGAACAGAGATTTAGTCTTTCATTTTCTGGTGTCCTGCGGTAGGACAGCGTTAAGTTTACGAACGCTCAAATCCGGGGTTCGATTCCCCGCGGTGGACACAGCATATAAGCCCAGTGTGGCTTTGCTCTAAAAAGAAAAATTTAATATTTCAGGCAAATAGCTGGATAACAAACGGTATCGTTCAAAACACAGCCGAGCTTATCATTCACTGCACACAACTGTAAGGTATTTTTACCGAACATATAAAAGTGTCTTTTATTAATGATTACTGGTTCTTCTGAATTAATATTTGGGGGGGGGGACGAAAGAAACTAATTTTTTTCGAGTCAGAGTAATAAAATTTAAAATAAGTGTTTCCACTCAAAATACGCTGATCAGATGCATACACTGTGCGTGCGTGCGCGGGCGGGTGGGAGAGCGCAAAGTTTTTCACCTTTGTTTTATACACACTTGTCTATATAGTAAATGAACATATTTAAATAGCTAGTAGCAGGTGTGGGGTACTGCTTAAATATAATATCATCACAGACTATTGCGGATCGTTAGTTAGATTCTATCCCTAAATAATCATCAACTTTCCAATCAATAATTGTACATCGAGTTGCTTTGTTATTCCTAGAATATGGAGAAT